AGAAAGCTGAAACGTTGTATGAACCTGGACGCAAATTTATTGTGGATGATCTTACAATTTAAGCACTTTCTAAAGATTTTTGTTTTCGTGACTGTTTTTTCTCTTTTAATTAGAGTAGCATTTTTTTAAACAAAATTGTGGTCAGTGACGTTACTGTGAACAACTTATGCGTTTGATGTTTTGTTTTGTAAGATATCTCTTTTAAAATTTGTCACGTCTAAAACAATAAAAGACTTAATTCAAAAGAAAATAATAAGCTAAAACTTGAAAAAAGAGTTTACTCTATCACTCGTAATGGTTGCCAGAAAGAATACACTGGAGAAACCTCAAGAGGTTTTAAATAAAAGATTACATAAACGCAAAAGGGATATTTTACGAAAAAGGAAGTGAGAGACAGACAGACGTGTCATCGAATAGATTGGGCAAGCGACAATAAAAATCTTTATTAAGTGCCACGATTCTCGCACTGAGATCATTAACGTATGCAGAATATAAAATTTAGCCCAATTCAAAAAAACACTATTCAATATCCGATACTGACAAAGGTTACTGGAGCAGCCGAAAATATTGTGATTCGCAGAACACTTTATTTTGGTACAAAATCAACAAAATAAAAAAAAATATGCAAAGAATATTTTATCTCGTAACATACATATACATGTATACGATAATACAAGGATGCAAACAAAGGAATTCTAATTTCAACACAAACACCACATCGGTTCTTGATAATGACTGCGAAAGTCGAAAGAACTTGAACAAAAATAACAAAATATGAACTTACGACAGTTTATCCACAACTTCAAGCACAATAATCAAAAAGCTTATTCAAAAACTAGAAAACTACAATAAAAATTAAATAGACAGATCTTGCCGATACTTTTTAATCACATTTATTTTTAATATTGAGCACTATGTAAAATAATATTGAAATATTGATATTAAAAATATAAAAATTAAATATTATCTTTGGGAAGCTGGACATTTCAAAAAGTCTCGTGTAACGGCTATTTGGGAATGAGGCTGCACAAAAAGATTGCGATTTGGGGGAGGTAAAGTAAAGGAAAGCGGGGTTAACAATAAATGAAATGACATTGGAAAAATCTAAGAAAGAAAAAAATGAGAAAGATCAAGGCGAAAATGAGAATATATTATGAAAGAAAAAATGAATGAATTAGGATATATTATGAAAGAAAAAATGAATGAATTAGGATATATTATGAAAGAAAAAATGAATGAATTAGGATATATTATGAAAGAAAAAATGAATGAATGGGGATATATTATGAAAGAAAAAATGAATGAATGAGAATATATTATGAAAGAAAAAATGAATGAATGAGAATATATTATGAAAGAAAAAATGAATGAATTAGGATATATTATGAAAGAAAAAATGAATGAATGGGGATATATTATGAAAGAAAAAATGAATGAATGAGAATATATTATGAAAGAAAAAATGAATGAATTAGGATATATTATGAAAGAAAAAATGAATGAATGGATATAAAAAAAAAATGAATGAATGAGGATATATTATGAAAGAAAAAATGAATGAATGAGGATATATTATGAAAGAAAAAATGAATGAATGAGAATATATTATGAAAGAAAAAATGAATGAATGAGGATATATTATGAAAGTGACAATGAATAAATGAATGTGGATACATTAAGAAGCAATGAATGACGATATATTACGAAAGAGACAATGAATGAATGAAGAATGAATGACGATATATTAAGAAAGAAACAATAAATGAATGGCGATATATTAAAAAAGTGACAATGAATGAATGAAAAAATGAGGATATATTGAGAAAGAGGCAATGAATGAATGAATGAGGATATATTAAGAAAGAAACAATGAATGAATAAGGATATATTAAGAAAGTGAGAATGAATGAATGAATGAGGATATATTAAGAATGAATGAATGAGGATATATTAAGAAAGAAACAATGAATGAGGACATATAATAAACAATAAATGAGGATATATTAACAAAAAGGATTGAATAAATGGCGTATTTTAAGAAAGGAGGAGTTTTATGAATGTTAAGAAATATATGAACGGTGAGATATATTAAGCAAATCGGATTGAGAAAGGATATATTGAGAAAGACAAATCCCGAAGAGTATAAAGTAAATGGAGGGATGATACTAAAATGAAAATAAATAATTAACTAAAAATGGAAACAGTAAAATAAAGTAGAAGAGACAGGTCGACAAATCGATTTAGAGAAAGACGAAATGAATGAAATTTAAAGACAAAATAAATGAATCAAAGAAAAATAAAGGAAAGAAAGAAATAAGAAACAAAAAAAATATCAAGTAGAAAAATTAAAATTGCAAAAGGAGAATAAAGGAAGAATCTTAGTAAAAAGAAACATGAAAGAAGAAAAGTAAAAGACAAAAAAAGAAGAAAAATTAGACTTACCATAAGGAAGGAAAGAGAATAATCGAGAAAAGAGAAGGAAAAAAACGTTTGACTTCATGGAAAGGTAAAAACTGAATACAAAGAAACAGTCAATTAAATAAACGAATATTTGAAAAGCAAAGATTTATGAAATGAATGAAAAATTAATGAAAATGACAAGACGGAAAAAAAACAGTCTTTCTAATGGAAGGAATTGAGTGTTAGCAAAAGAAGTAACTTATGCGAAGGAGGTCACTCAGAACCCGATTCAAAAATGGCTGCGTTATTCGCCCTGTGGATTAACTTGAACGTAGTGTTTTCCTCAACTTCCTCCGAGTTCTTTTGCCCGCTCCTTTCCTTTTCGTTCCTCGAAAGTCGTCTTCTCCTACCCACGGCCTTTTTCCAAGCCTTTTTTTTTTCTTTCCACTTTTTTTCCAACGATTTTTGCCTTCCTCGTGTGGAAATTACTTCACCTATTATGCTATTGCGTTTGTTTTTCAGGTCTGTTATCTGAGTGATCACGTGATGCCGACTGAGAAAACCTCCCCACTTTTTTTTTTTTTTTTGTCTTTCTTTCTTCACTACCTTTTCTGTTTCTCTTCTTTCTTGTCCGAGTTTTTCGTTTTGCTTGCTTTCTTTCAACCTCAGTTTTCACCATCCAGCTCTAAACATTCAGCTAGCGCCCCCTCACTTCAATATCAACCCCCCACACAGACACACACGCCTCTCTCTGACGCGCATTCCTATGATTTCGCCTCCACCTCGGCCGATTCTTTCATTTCGGACCAATTTATTGAATTGCATTTAACAACGCTTCAGACGCAGTTGATCGGCTTACGCCACGAAAAATAATGGACTCTAAAATATGGTAATGCTGAGAGCCATTTAATATTATTACGATTATATTATTTATAATTTAGCAAGCGGGATTGCTTGGTCTATTGAGGTTAATTGTCTTTTTTTTTATTTTACTTTTTTCGTTTTCAGATATTGAAACTAAACGTATGAATTATTCGTTTTACAGTGGTTCAATTTGCCCCAAAATGCTATATCTAACTGAACTCACCCAAAATCTGCTTATATACAAATCTATATCTATAGAAATAGATCTTACATTATATACACAGACTGTCATATATATATATGCTTATATTTTATATCATAAAGAAACAATTTATACAAAGAATTAGCAATGTTAATGAGATTAATGCCGAAATCACTTCGTTAACAAGACTTAATGAGACATTAACTTACTCTTAATTTCTTTAATAATACGATCCTAATATTCGAGTTGTTGTCAGATGGAATTCACATGCCAAGTACTTTGGGCAATTTCAAATTCCATCTTCAGGGCGCAATTTTTCCTCACATAGGCAAACACCACGACGAAATATGTGTAGACGTTTAAATTATGATATTTATTGACAGTTAAATATATGTTTCGGAGCGTGCAATGCCGCGACGCTAGAGTTCTTGTTCAAGTCGATCAAGTGAGAATTTTGTTTGAATTTTGAAAAGTTATAAATCCCCCCCCCAAAAGTATAAATTGTTTCTTTATGATATATATATATATATATATATATATATATATAGAGAGAGTATATGATATATGAAGTGTTATATATCAGAACAATGTTAGGCAATTCAATGTCAAAGTGATTTTAAGTGGGGTCTGGAGACACCCGGAGCAGTGTAGTCATTAGTCAGGATTTATGTTTTCTACTACATTTTGTTTTTGCTAATAAATGTATTTTCTGTTGCATGGAATTTCTATGTTTGCTTATGTGGGCCTGAAATTATTTCGACACCATAAATGGGCCATAAGGAAGTAAAGTTTGAGAAACACTTCTCTGGTGGAAGGACTTCATCGGACAAAAGGAATATAAAAGGAATTATATATATATATATATATATATATATATATATATATATATATATATATATATATATATATGAAGGGGTATATATAAACCCGAGCCTAGGTTATTGTCCTTACCTATAACTACAGAACGAACTCTTCACTATGTATACTACGCCTCTCAAGAGAGAAGGGCGAATCGAGTCGAGCCGATAGTAGTTCACTCCAAACCAGACTGACAGTCATACTAATACCTTCCACCTCTTGTATTATTATTTCGTGTAATATACCTTCTTTATTTCTACCCTTGTGTTCGTGTTGTTCGTCCTTGGTCCTAACCTGGACCATAACAGATATTTCAAATTGCATACATGCACACACACACACACTATATATATATATATATATATATATATATATATATATATATATATATATATATAGTAAATGAATGGCGACTTGGATTGGGCAATCGGAGAGCCGAGTTCGAATTCCAGTCGAATCCATTACATTCACTTACGTGCTAATACCCTTAGGAAAGGTATGAATCCTCTTCTTCTCCCTCCAGCTATAGGTAAAATAGCAGGACAGACTGGGATTTATAGCCTTGGATGGCAACTGGTCTAGAAGAAGGACAACTCTGAATTTAAAACCTGCGGAGGGTCGTTTGGGGACCTTTTGACACTTAGTCCACCAGGTCTCTGTATTCGGCCCTTCAAAAATTGTGGATGGTCCTACATGAAACCTTCACCACTATAATCAAATCTCATGTGCTGTTGTCGGGCTGTCGGTTTCCCTAAACACTGATCTGCTTGACTCTCATACGTCGAACTCGACGGGAGAGTCGAGTATATATATATATATATATATATATATATATATATATATATATATATATATATATATATATATATATAAGGTGCGATGGTTAAACTACCGTCTAAATTATGCAAAATCAAAATAACACTGAAATATTTTAACAGATATATTTACCAAAATTACACAAAAATATCTTGAAATATGAAAGAGTAAATATATTCAATAAAATCCCCATTGGCTTCAACCACGTCCTTCAGATGACTTCGTAATCTCCTGCAACTCTTCTGGATTGTCTCCTTCTCTAAGTTGGTGAATAATCATTGGCTTCAGTTTATCTTTGGTGTTACAAGGAGACTTTTTTTTTGGGGGGGGGACACTTTCTTAACTGCGCTGCACACATAACAATAAAGGGAGTTGCATTCTGGGGAGTTAGTTAACCAGATGTAAGGGGTGTTGTAGTCGCAGAAATTGTCTGACAACTATGACTGGGTTCTCCTGCTTGTGTGGCATGGTACAGTTCTGTTGCCAGAAATAGGGTCTTTCAGTAGCCCCATCCCACCTTTTTTAAGCAGAGAAGCACTACCTTCTCAAGGCACTTGATGTAGGCCTCCGTGTTGATTCTGGGGCTCTCACCAAAAAATTCATACTGCCGTACTTTCTTAATCAACATTAGACTCATCCATATCTTACCGAATCTTCTGCACTGTTCTCAGATTGACACCCAAACAATCTGAAATGTTCGTACTGGAACTTTCGGTGCGAATGGCAAGGAGTACAGCATGCCGTTTCCAAATTTCTGTCAGAGTGAATTGCGTCATGGTGCTCTTTTTCTCACAATGGGCACCAAACTGACCTTACTATACTGTGCAGTGTGACAAAAACAAAAACAAACAACTGACATGCACGAAATTAAAAATATAAAATGGCGACAATTCACCCATCGCAAATATATATATATATATATATATATATATATATATATATATATATATATATATATAAAGATGTGTCTGTGTGCTATTTATGCACATCCACATTTCCCGACCGATTTCGATGAAATTGTACGCACATGTTTCAAATTTACTGACTTAGGTCAAAACCAACTTTTCAATTTGAAGCCGCCCCCGGGTTTAGCAGAAAAATCGATAAAACTGAAGGTGGGTACGACTTTTTGCAAAAATCAAGGCAAAGTTACACGCGAACAAAATATTTACTGGATGAGCTGATGTTCTTTTCACTTGATGAAAAATGTAGTTTTTATGTAGAGTGCCTGATAGTTTTTGTGTGACATTGGCTTCAATCAAAAAATTGCAAAAACTGTGAAAAAATCCGTTTTTTCGTACTACTAAAAATAAAAAATAAAATAACTCCCTTATTTTTATCCGATTTTCTTTAAACATGTCGCTAAGAATTTGCCATCATGTAAGAAATAAGATAATATGGTTTTAGTCCTGCTCGCTTCCGCGCGTATAATAAAAACCACGAAAAAACTGTTAAAAAAGCCCATTTTTCGACAACTCCATGGTTTTTCATCCGGTGCTTTCTAAATTTGCCATGTAAATTACATATTGCACACGAATTGTCTTGTGTGAATGATTTGTTTAGATTATTTGAGTGAAGTGGACAAAATCTGCAACAAACTATGTTCCAAATGGACCTTTGCCATAGCCAATAGTTTCTTTATATGATTCCATCCAAAATTGGTATCTGAACAACCTTTGATGCAAAGATTGTTTGAGAAGGATTATTGAAGCGTTAAAAGGGAAAAAATCCCGAAGAACTTCTTATTAAGCCCAGCTTTGCAGTAAACGTGCGAAGAAGGGGGCGTTCATGCGTTGGCACTTGCTTTTGAATCAAGCTTTGACGTTTCATCCCTGTTTTTGTTTGATTATTAGATTTGTGAACAATGCCATACTATTTGAAAGTTATTACGGCCATAGGAAATTTATTGAATATCTAAAACATTGAAACAATTTAACCCTGAGCAATGACTACGCAAAAAGTTTTTATCGATGGAATTCCTTTATTAAGAGCAAACACTTGTGAAGGAGATACCGTATAAAAGGTGAGCGGGAAGTAGTTTAGTATTCCAACGGATGATGCATACAAGCGGAGGTGGGTGCGGGTATACAATTGTATACATATATATATATATATATATATATATATATATATATATATGAGAAAAGAGATTTAATAGGCCGGTTAATGAAATTCGATGAATAAATAAAACAACAAAATGATGACAATATTCTGAATTTTTTTTTATTAGTAGCCCTTTGACTAAAGGGAATCACCAAAAGGAAGATTTTAAAGACGGATTCTTCGTACACGCCTGTGTACTTTATCAACGATATGAGAAATAAATGATCAGTTGTGACTAATCTGTCGGGAAATTTGGA